TCCTTTCGTGACTCCATTCACCGCCCTCATGTCTACACAGAAGCGAAAAGAGCCGTCCTTCTTCCGCACCAGGACGACGGGGGAACACCATGGACTGGTGCTCTCCTCTATCACCCCGTCCCTCAGCATCTGCTCCTTCTGCAGCTCCACTTGGTCTCGTATTGACGTCGGTATCCTGCGGGCCGGCTGCCGGATCGGAGTGGCATCGCCTGTGTCAATCCGATGCTGCACCAAGTGGGTGCGTCCAATGTCTCCTGGGTGCTGACTGAATATGTCCCGGTACTCCGACACCAGGCTTCTTAGCCGGGACTTGCCATCCTCAGACATGTCGGAGCCGTCCACGTCGACTGCTGTGACTGGTGCCGGAACATCATCATCATCGCCTTGGTCGCCGTCGCTGCCCCGCGGCGACCCGCCACCGGTGACAGCGCCGGCGTGAAGACCATCATCCTCACTCAGATCGAATTCGTTGTCACCTCCCGGCAGAATCGTGTACAGCGTCCCGATATCGCTGCCCTTAAGAAATCTGGCCTCGTGGGAACCGACATTAGTCAGCTGTATCGGAACAGTGCCATTACCATCCACAGTCACCACCTCCCTCGGAATCAGGAGGTCCTCCCTCAGCGCCGTGTGACTGGGCTCGATCACTCCCTGCAGCGCACACGGGTTACTCACCTTCCCGTTGACTGGTACCACAGAAGCTCTGACGACGATGACTGACCGCGCCGGCACCACCGTCGTGGCGGCCAACAGAACTCTCGCCCGACTGGGTCGAATGGCGCTGTACGGAGGCAGACGAATTGACATCCCGGCCAGTCTGATCACTCCCGCCTCGTCATCGATAACAGTGCCATGACGGCAGCAAAAATCACGCCCCAGGACCAGCTCGTACATCAGTCCCTTGACCACTGCCGCGCTGGGAGTAGCGAATGTCTTTCCCTGGATTTCGATTGTCAGGTCTTGAACAACCCCCGTGATGTGAAGCGGCTCACCGCCCGCCCCTCGTGCCGTCTGGGATGGCGTCGTTAGCCGACACCCCAGCTCCCGCTGGACATGCTCCTGCAGACCATCGCGAATCATCGTGAAGTCCGCCCCGGAATCCACCAGGGCCCAGACTCGCCGTGTTCCCAACTGCACCTCGACCACCGACGCCGTGATCTGGGACCCTGATGGACGCCGGGCCGATGCTTGTCCCTCAGCACCGGCCGCCATCAGTTTTCCTGACCGGTGTACTGGGGCTCGTGGCGGCTGCTTTGCACTGGTCCGGTATGCGACCGCTGGTCCATCGGGACTGGGAGCATGCGGCAGTCCGCCAGCCAATGCCCGTCCCTACCGCAGCCGAGACAGAACGGAAGTCTCTGTGGTGTAGCAGACTGCCGAGCCGAGCGCGGGCAGTTACGCACCATGTGCCCAGCCTCACCGCATCCAAAGCAACGGCCTACGTTTTCGGTGGACTGGCGGCCTCTACCTGCGGTTCCCTGCACCGTACACGCGCGCCGCGTGTGACCGATCTGGCCGCAGTTATAACAGCGCAGGTTGACCGGGGTCGCGGCTGTCGTTAGAGCCACCGCTGACTGATCATAGGCGAGCTGACTAGACTGTCTGCCCCCCAGCTGCCCGCCGTGGTGGCCAGACGTGTCGAGCTCGTGCAGCCTTTGCTGCATTTCCATCATGCGGCGCTCCAGCGCCCGCACCCGATCCGTCTCCGTCTCATCGCCGCCTCGTCCCGCGGCAGGTAAGTCACCGGCGACTGATACCACTTCCCGACCGCGCGGCAGCGCCGTCACGGGACCCGCGACTGCGCCCTCCTGTGAGTTAGCAGCAGGAGCCGCCACTGCAACGGCGCCAGCCGCCGCCGCAGCCGATTGCCGGACTGCCAGCATCGCATCGTGACGTGTCTGCAGCTCTCGGGCTGCAGAAATTGCAGCTGACAGCGTTTTCAGATTTTTGCTGCACAGCTGATTCTGAAGCTGCTCGTTACGCAGTCCGCACAGAAAACGGCTCGTCAAATGGAACTCGACCGGGGCGTCTCCCACGCCCTCGTCTGGATACGCGGCGCGTCCCAGATGACGGATACGATCGGCAAAATCGGCTACTGTCTCCCCAGGTGTCTGCATCGCGCGTGCCAGTTCCGCCTGTGCCTGCAGTGGACCAACCTCAGAGCCGTAACGCACACTCAGCGCCTCGACAACCTGTGCATAATCGGCCTGGGCAGCCGCCGACAACGACGCATATAGGTCCAGAGCCCCATCTTCCAGCAGGGCCGGCAAACACTGCAGACGTTCCGCGGCAGACCAGGTAACAGTTTGTGCCTCGAAACGGTTCAGCCAGCGGCGCCATTCCTGCCCATTTGCACCGGTAAAGGGTTTAGCCTTTGACATAAAAATCAACCTGGGATCCATTTCTCCCTCAAACTGACAAAAACCGACCGTAATATTTACACTACACGATATCCTATTCCGCCGAAAACATCGATCAAAATGCCGGTCGCAGCTACCTTACCGTGATTCTGGCTCACCAGCTGGGGTTCCCTATGGCTGGCTGGGGGAAGGGGTTTGGCGGACTCCTCGGGGCTTTGGATGACCTGGGAGTAGTTTATCTTGTCGCTGGGGTCGGGGTCGTTTTTGGCTACTCAGGTTTTTATTTAGCTTTGGGTGAGCTGGGATAACTTGAGCTAGTTTGGGGCGTCCGGCATAGGCGGCGGAACGGGGAGGGCACCGGGGCACCGTGCCCCTTTTGATTTTGGCATTTTAACCCTCGCATGTGTGCGGCGTTTGCCAGCTTCTAATGTGTAGGGGGGTGGGGTCGGTTGGACCCCCCCCCCTTGCCGTTTGGCCCCTGATCGAGCTAGAGCTTCGCGGAAAAAACGAGCGTGTTGCCCGTGACGAGAGGAAGCCGATGATACCCAATTTTAAGGTCCTAGGTCATTGGTTGACCTTCCAGGTCAGGTCAATGACCCAAAGTCGGGAAAATCGGGACCTGTTAGAAAGTCGTAAAGTGTGGCTGCTAAGGGGTTTTTCGGGGTGCTGATCACGAATATCGTGTTAGTTTTGATCACAGATGGTGTCTTGAAGCATTTAGACCAGGTCGGGTCAGGTCAGGTCAGGTCAACCAGTAGGCGTCGTGACGGGTATTCGTAGTACGTGTCAAACGCCTCTGACAGCTTCGTAACATGTTACGAAGTCACCAAAACTACTTCGTAAATGTTCAAATGGTTGCTAAATTCGAATTCAGCTCCAAAAACTAGCCTAGAAACATGTAAAACTCGAAAAAGTGACCCGAGGTCACCCGAGGTCACCAAAGGTCAATGACCTGACCTGACCTTCAGGTGACCTTGACACACACGGGAGTAACATCAAATCACATGTTTGAACGTTTGAAACCACGAAAAGCTTGCAAACACGCGGCTAGTGCGAGCCGACATACGCGAAATCGCGATTCCGGCCAAACATGGTCTCGGAAAAGAGGTCACAGGTCAAAGGTCATTTGGGTCAGGGTCATGAAATTTTCAGGGTAGGTGTAAAATTGATCAATGCGAGGGTACTGAAAGTTTCGTCGCGATCAGCCGCTTTTTACGCGAGTTATTCGCGAAAAACAATGGGGGGTCCATCCGACCCCCCCCCCCCTACACATGCGAGGGTTAACATTAGCCCTATGGGCGTTGCATGGAAAGAATGGGACCAAAAGTCGGCAGTGCCCCCCCCCCCCCTTAATTGAAGGTGTTCCGCCTCTACTGGCATCCGGAGGTAGTCGGTCGGGGAATCCCTGGGCCGTGGGCGTCTTGGTGGTTCTGGGTAGCATTGGATTACCTGCAATCGGTCGGTTTCACTGAAGATCAGTTTAAGTCGTTCATTTGACCTGAGCTCTCTCGGACTGTTAGGGATAACTCTGGCTATCCCAAAGACATCTGGACTCTACCTCGGCAGTTCATGATAGCTGAGGTCAGCTGGGTTGACCGGATGCCGCCGCAGGTCCTGACCCCGATATCGGTGCAGCGGTCCAGTCGAATGTGCTAATGAAGCGGGCAGTTTGGGGCCACTGCGCGGCGCGCGCGGCAGCCGACGCCGGAGATAATGGAAAACTGAGGATGATAGGTGGTGCCGCTCGCCGCGGCGCTCCGCTCTGGATTTCGGCTGGCTGAAATCGCCGGCGCACGAATGAAAATAGAAAACTTGTTCGAGCGCTAAGATGTGTGCACAATGCTTTTAGTCTTCCAACGTGGATATAATTAGTTGTTTTCATTTTCATCTGTTTGCTTACAACATCGCAGTTACTTACCGTGGACATTTTTAACAAAGAAAAGTTGTGGAACAGTTTGTATACCAGATGTTGTAATCAGTACGGTGGTTTGCTGTGACATTTATATGCAACGTCCCACCCATAAATTTTACGCCCAGTGTTTCCGTGAAAAACGACACTACTATCTATGCTGAACGCCGCTCTGGGTCGGGCTGCCTGTGCTGTCGGTGGTATCTATAAGATAGGTGGACCGGAGATGATCTCTTCTTTCGGTGTGGGTGACTTTGGCCGTGCAATTTGTATTGCGTCTGTTTCGTATTGGGATGCGTGTCCGAAGTAGTGATACCCATTTATAGCGATACAAATCTTAGGATCACGGATCCAACTCTAAACTCAAATTCAGGCCTGACAGAGGAGTTTCCATTATGAGCTCAGACAGGCCATATGCCGGACTTGGCAAGGGTGCACTTGCATCAGAATTTGCAGCGACATTTCCACGTCACGCTCTACCAGCGTATGCTGAATAATGTGTGGCATTTTATGAAAATGTGCTACAACATCAAAACATGCCCTCAGGCTTTATCTGTCACACTGTAGAATAGAAATAACGCCTGTTACTATGTGCTAAAGATTCAGTAAAGATTCTTGGAAGTCCAACATTCACCCTCTCAACCCTGATTCCTCCCTTTGGAGGACTCCCACCACTATACCCCCGGACTACTCCATCCAATACCTGATCTCGTCTGCTACTGTTCCCACAGGCTCGTGCGGCGCCACGCTGCGGTACGTGGTGAAGGACTGTGACCCGGCCACCGGCCTGCCCGACACGGACGAGGGCTATGAGGACGAGTATCTGCTGGAGGAGGTCGAGCTGACAGTCGCAGACCATGTGCAGCGCGTGCTCAAAGCCAACTTCGCCGCCGCCTGGGATGAGATCGGTGAGTGGAGGCGGGAGGAGAGGGGATGGGAGGATGGGGGAAGGAATGGGTGGGAGGATAGAGGAGGACATGGTGGTTAAGTGATGAAATGGGATGTAAGGAATGGGTGAGAAGGAAGGGGAGCTTGGCGAACGGAAAGGAAGTGAAAATAGAGAATCAGTTAGGAGACAAGGTAATGAAGCGATTTCTGGAGAAAAAAAAAATTGGAAGGGAAGGGGAAAGATGCGAAGGGAGTCTGAGAGTAAGGAGAGCGAGGGACGGCGGGAAGTGGCGTCTGTGTGCGTTCCCGATGGACGCTGATGGGCGGCCTCTGTGCGGATACGGATGGGTATTGATGTAGCGGTCACTGACGGATGGCCTCACGGATGACCGCTGTGATTTTGCTGGCCGGCGCATATCCGGTTTCGGGAAAGGTGATGGACGTTTGAGAAATGGATGGGCCGGTCAGGTTGATATTAAAACGAAAATGCATCCTGAAACAAAATATTATGCCGCAGCTTTTCCTTTTTTTGCATGTTTTTATCGTCCAATATTTTATAGTGTAATCTCCAGCAGAAGTCTCTTTTGGATGTTATTGTTAGTTGTTACCATCCACAGCCTCTCTCATTGTGGCACGCTCTAATTCGGTACCAGCGTGTGTTGTGAGACCGCCACGTTGACTTATTGGCCATTGTATTAGCTATTCAGAGCATCATACGATGTGGCTATTTGTTATGCCCAGCGAAACTGCCTGGATTGATCCGGTAGGAATAATACATTATCCCAATGCCACTTGGAACTATCGTGGATGTCATTTACTTCACAATAGTAATGCGCCCGCCGTGCTGTGGGCGAATGCAAAACAGCTCTCAGTGTCAATATGGGCTCAGAAATGTTGACAGTAACGCAGTAAAAGCACAATATTGTTACTTTCTTACCTGTCCTTTGAAATCCAATGAATGGATAAGTCCGATTCTGTTTTTGCTTACATTTGTGGTCACTGGTCTGCGTCATTGTTGTTCGGATGAAGACCAATATGTGAAGACTGCACTGTGTTAGGGCCCACATAGTTACATTATTTCACCACGGCAAAAAAACAGACGTCTTATGCTGGCCAATGGTTGCTTTGTTCTTGCTTCTATTTCGCCATGGAAAGTTGTGCCGAGCGTAGTTGCTCCGATACGGTAACTTTTCCACTCGGATCGACGCAAAGCTAACGAAGATAACGAGCTTATGTGACGGTAGCACGATCTTAGCTGGGCTGGTGTCAAATAATCCAATTTTTCTTCAGCTTTTGGCGACTGTGCTATCATAGACTGGAGTCCGCGTTCCAGAACAGCTTGATATAGGTGTGTCCCGCATGTGTCCTCAACTAGGACCAATTATAAGTCACATATATGATATACGCCCTGTCGCCTGCACTGCGCAGTTTCAGCAACAGCGACTAGCAGGCTGCGCGCTTCAGGCTGAGTTTCCGACTAGCCACTACGAACGCTGACGCACTGCAGTCGCAAAGTGTCCTTGAATGCAGCGTGATTGCCACTTGAAGCGGCGATTGCTGCCGGGGCGGCAAAGAGTGTCGGTGACAGCGGCCTACCCTGGAAGACCCGCGACTTCAGCGGCAGGCCAGTATTGACCACCGCATCCGTTCGACAGAACAAGTATAGGAAAAACAGCTGACGTCAGTCGCGCAACGTTTCGTACGAAGCTTGTTAAGAGAGCATGCGTCTGGGTTTTGAGAAAATTGTCTGCCATAGACCACACGTCCACACATGTGATTGTTCCTGTCACAGCTTTAATTACTTGCCGATGATTTTTCTGGCAAACATGATGCCATCCTCCAAACATCTAAAAATATGTGGCATGCAGACTTCCGACTGCATGTGAATGCTGTTCTGGGATTTCTCTGCCTCGGAGTTTAGGAGCTGCTCAGTATGCATCGGTAGTGTTGGCCAGCAACCAGCCTGCCTCACAATCACACTGGCTGGCCTTCTCTCACTCGAGGAGAGAATCGTGCTGCGGGCAAAGTCCGGTCGCGATAGTTATCGCGGAAACGAATTCATATATTTTAGTACCAGTCCACGGTCCAGTTATAAAAGGGAAGATGTTTAGTGAAGATATTGTGAGGATATTGCATATATCATGCTAAGGTAAATCCGTTAGATCCGCTGGTCTATTCTTGTAAAATTATCACAGCACATTTCACAGGAGAATCCGTAATATCTCACTTGTTCCCAAATCCTGGGATGTCCTCGAAATCCGTTTCTCGAATACATTATCATGGCGGGAGCGCCGCTAAGCGTCCGGTGGCCGGTAGTCTGCCGTGGTCTGATCCGGCGGCTGTCTCTTTGTCTCGTCCTGGGTGATCGACAGGTCGCCTACCGTGATGATGCTTGTCATGGTGCTGCCCGGCGTACACCATCGGGCACGGCTGGAGGTATATGGCTGAACAGGTGTCGGACGGAATTCAAGACCGACTGAGATCAGCCATTATGCTTTTGCATATGTTGTGTATTGAAAGTCGTCTGCCCAAAAGTGCACGAACCGCGCGCGACAAATAATGTGAAATTGAAGATCAGCGAGTTTGTGGATTGAAATTGGATTTTGTAATCTGAGCTATTCGTATTGTTTGTATCTTGATTGTTGCTTCGGCAATATAAATGAATTTGTTGAAGTTGTCTTAGTCCTCGATTTATAACATGGTGCCGAAACCCGGGAACTTTTATTGCCGAAGTTAAAATAGGTCGTCATATCTTGTGTTTAAGAATGACGACAATCGCTGAATTAAGGCGTGGACGAGCAGCGTCTCGAACCTGGCTCAAACGATCCATTGCGAAAATAGAGAAGCTCATCGACATTGAATGTGAAGAAGAAGAACTTCGAAGTGCTCTTACAGAGCTGGACAAGCGAACGTCAAATGTGGACGCGTTCCAAGAGAAGATCGAACTTGTGATTAACGACACCGAACTTGAAGCCGATGTAGAAGAGGCTGCCGAAGTGAGAGACGGTGCTATGGAGGCGCGCTGGAAAGCAGTTCGGATACTGAAAAGGATGTCCATTTGTGATCGAGATTCGACAGAAAGTGGTGGTTCACCGAGTGGTCAGTCGACGACGGCCAGTACCACCTCGTCAAACGGTTCTGCAGGTCAAAATGCAAGACTTCCGAAGCTAGAGCTGCCCAAGTTTGGTGGAGCGATCCTGGAATGGGACTCCTTTTGGGATCAGTTTCAGGCAGGGATAGATTCCTCTGAGATACCAGAAGTGACAAAACTTGTGTATCTGAAGTCATTGCTATTTGGAGAGGCAAAGCAGGCCATTGAAGGACTACCAGTTGTCAGCGCTAACTACAAAGTAGCTTGCGAAATATTGAAGGAGCGGTTTGCGAGGCCAGCAAAGATAATATTCGCTCACGTAGAGAAGTTACTGGTGCTGGGTACAGAGCGACGAGACATGACTCTAAAAGCCGTCCAAGATTCACTCCTGCTCCACATCCGCAGCCTCGAGCGGCTTGGAATAGGAGGCGACAGATATGGGGTCATCCTAACACCCCTCGTGCTGAGCCGCCTGCCAGAATCCTTTAGGCTGGAGTGGGCTCGTGGAAGTGAAGGTCGAGAAAGTGATCTCAGCTATCTTCTAAGCTGTCTCAGAAGCGAAATCGACCGCATCGACAGATCGATTACTATCGATAACAGCAGCAAAACAAAACGAGACGTCAGAGAACGCGGCCGGGAGCAGAGAACCGGACACACGACTTCCTCGGCCACGGCTCTGCACTCAGCCGCTGATCAGGATGGCCGCGGAGGACCGGAAACTGGCGGCGCGACAGCTCACACTGGCAGGTGTGGGCTCTGTGATGGACGCCACGCGACAGCAAAGTGCCCTGACCTGAATGGGGCTTCAATTGGCGACCGTCACGGTAAGATTAAAGCTGCCAGATTGTGTTTTGTTTGTCTAAAAAGGGGACATGTAGCTGCGAACTGTCGTGCAAGGTGCACGGTGTGTAAAGGGAAACATCATGCCGTGTGCTGCTTTAAAAAGCACGGAATTCCTGATAGTGTCAAAACGCAGGTGTCGCCTAACAACAACGAGCCCGGCTGTGATGATGCGCGTGAAAACTCTGAAAACCCTGAGGCTTCACTGTCGTGTGCTCTGACCAAACAGTGTACTGTTCTGCCCACGGCTCGAGTATGGGTGCAAGGGGAAAAAGGGCCCGTCCAAGCCACCTTGCTGTTTGATAGTGGCTCTGACAGAAGCTATGTCACCTCTTCTCTAGCTAAACGAGTAGGTTCTAAGTGGCTAGGTGAGCAGAGTAGCTCGTATGCGGTCTTTGGGGGAGGTAAATCAGTCACGTGCAGGCGGAACTTGGTCCAGATAACGGTGTCAGGGGCTAATCAGTCTAGTGTCTCAATGGAGACTATCAGTGCTCTAGAGGTTCCTGTGATATGCGCCCCCTTACAGCGTCCCTCGGTACCTTCTGAAGCTCTACAAATGTTCAGAGACCTAGAGCTAGCAGAGCTGCACGACTCAGATGAAACACTGTCCATAGACATCCTTGTGGGCCTTGACGCATACTGGCGCTTCATGAAGGACGGAATAGTTCGCTGTCCAGGCAGCTTAGTCGCTCAGGAGACCTCCTTCGGATGGGTAGTCTCAGGCGCGGCGACGTGTGACCAGTCCCAGCCGGCATCCTGTCAGCTTCTGCTAATGAATGACATGTCGGAGTCGGCCCTTCGTAACTTGTGGGATCTGGACGTCATTGGAGTGAAGGAAGATCGAGATGATGACGCCAAAGCCGTGTTGGATGATTTTTCTTCCAAAGTAGTGTACAAGGACAGCAGGTATGAGGTGGCTCTCCCTTGGAAGTCAGGTGTGAGCCCAGGTCAGTTGCAGGATAACCGAGCGGGTGCAGAGAGCCGTCTAAGTAGTCTGTCTCGGAAACTGACCCGAGACCAGTCGCTGGCTCATTCATATAACGAGGCACTCGGAGACATGGAAAACGGAGGCATAATTGAGGAAGTGCC